TTGAAAAAGTAGTGTCCGCTCAATTGTGCTCTTTTCTGCAAGAAAATGATATCTATGAAAAATTCCAGTCAGGATTCAGACCGCATCATAGTACAGAAACTGCGCTAGTTAAAATTACAAATGATTTACTTTTAGCTTCTGACCAAGGCTGTATCTCAATACTAGTCCTACTTGATCTTAGCGCTGCGTTCGACACTATAGATCATAAAATACTCTTGGATCGACTACAAAACTACACTGGTGTTCTGGGACAGGCATTAAGCTGGTTTAGATCGTACTTATCGGACCGTTCTCATTTTGTCTGTTTAAATGGGGAAAAATCAAAGATAACGTCAGTAGACTATGGAGTACCGCAAGGATCGGTTTTAGGCCCTCTGCTATTCTCAATATACAGTATATGCTGCCACTTGGTAATATTATAAGAAAACACGGAATTAACTTCCACTGTTACGCTGACGACACTCAATTATATATTTCATCACGACCAGATGAAAACACTAACTCATCTAAAATGACAGAGTGCCTCAAAGATATAAAATGCTGGATGACGCGTAATTTCCTGCTATTAAATTCAGATAAAACGGAGGTATTACTTATTGGTCCAAAAAACTACTCACAAAACCTCTCACAATACAACTTTAATATAGACGGATGTCCTGTTACTTTATCCACAACAGTAAAAGACCTGGGTGTTATACTAGACCGCAACTTGTCTTTCGAAAATCATATTTCATATGTTACAAGAACAGCCTTTTTCCACCTTAGAAACATTGCTAAGCTACGTAACATGCTATCTATTTCTGATGCAGAAAAATTAGTTCATGCATTCATGACCTCGAGACTAGATTACTGTAATGCTTTATTAGCTGGTTGTCCTGCATCCTCAATAAACAAGCTACAGTTAGTACAAAATGCAGCTGCTAGAGTTCTTATTAGGTCAAGAAAATATGATCATATAACACCGATTTTATCATCTCTACACTGGTTACCTATTAAGTTCCGCATCAACTACAAAATACTACTACTGACCTATAAAGCCCTAAATGGTTTAGCTCCTATGTACTTAACGCACTAGCGGCGCCAGGATTTTGATTGTAGGTGGGCCTTCAGAAAACTGGATGGGCCCGTCCGTAAGGCAAAAAAAAAAAAAAAATCCCCTTCATATCCGTTTCAGCGCTTTTCTGCGGCACTGTGGACAGCGACTCAGTACTCTCTTTTGAATGTTTAATACACAAAAAGACTGAAACGGAATTCTTTGGAGGGTCTCTGTTTCTCTCTCCAGTTACGGGCAGGGAACTGTCCAAAATTATTTAACTGTTTCTTATAAAGTTAGAATGACAGAAGAACTTTATCGACATGAAATAACAGCAGCACTGAATCTGACACAGCTGCTAAATAAAAACAGCAGGAAAACGATACAAAATTATTTAACTGTTTTTTTTTATTTATTCAGAATGATAGAAGAACTGTACCAACATGAAATAATTAAATGAACAACATATCTAACCAAAGTGGGGAGCCAGAGCATGCCATGGGAGGCGTGGAGAGTGGTAAAAATTATATGCCTATAATTAGATTAAATAAAAAAGTTAAATTGTTATTATTCTGAAAAAAAAAGGCCTCGATTACTCTGCAGGTCTTGATGCCCAATTCTAATTTGTTACATTTCTCCGATTTTTTTTTTTTTTTTTACCGTCCGTTTACACATTCTTTCAACTTTATCCGAGTCATGTGTTTACTTGCCATATAGCCATATCTAAAAACATCGCGCTTGCTTAAAGGGTGACCATATTTTGATTATCAAAAACCAGGACAATCGGCCCGGCAATGAGATACTCAAATGATACTCGAAGTTTACTCAAAGATGCCTTAATTTCAATAATTTAATAGGGTATGCCTCCGGATATAAATGGTTACATTACAAAATAGGCCTACTATCTATAACCAAAGACCAAATTCAGATAGGCTTCTCAGAGGTTATACTCTACTCAACATGTTTTATTATGACAGGTTTCAAAAATAATGATAGAAATAATGTCTCTTCTGTATTAGAAATAAATAAATAAATAAATAAATAAAAATAAAAAATAGCCTACCTCCAAATTGAACCAAAATAGCTCTCACAAACTTAACAAAAACCTAACTAACAAAAGTTGTTTATATATTTAGGTTTCTTCTTCCTCTTTTTCATGTTTTTCTTTTTAAATGGCCCAATGAAAAATAATTAAAACCAGGACATTTTCATCACTTTATAAAAAACAGCCACGACAAGACGTGAAAACAGGACATGTCCTGGGAAAACAGGACGTTTGGTCACCCTAGCTTAAAGGGTTAAATTCTCTTTTTTACAGATGGACGAACGTGAAACATGCTTGATGCTAAATCTGCAATTTATGCGAAGTTCTCCAAACATTACCATGATTTTGAGGAGGAGGACGACGAAAAGTGCCATCATTGCTGCCTGCGCATGGCCGCATGCGCTTCAGTTATTGTGTGCGAGAGAAATCTCAGGACTGGTGGAAGCATATTGTGTTTAAATATAGGCTTTAACGAGGAGCAGTGGGTCCGAAATTTTAGGAAGAGCAAGCCAACCTTTTTGATATGTTGATATGCGTCAACGTTTGTCCACAAACATTCACGTTTTCTCTACGGCGTTTTGTCGGGCAATCCATCCCTTTGCAGATGCGCGTCGGCTCTCGTCATTAAACCGCGGAGAAGTGGTCTAACTCTAAATGCATTGACATCTGATTCATTTCCAATTTATTTCCACATATGAATGAGGCCTGAAACCGATCTCGAAATAGCCGAATGCATGCGTTTTTTTTCCTGTTTACATGGTCACAAACACATCCGATCTGTCACAGTGTCACATTCACATGAGCAAAAAATTATAAGTTGGTTACGGGAGGACTTGATGCAGAGAGGGCGGCCGAGCAGGATGGTAACTCTTCATTGAAGTAACCGCGTTACTAAAAATGGCAGGAGTTTCCTCCTCCTGCTCCTCGGAGCGTTTTTTATTTTTTTATTGCTAAATTTAAATGAAAACAAGCTGCTTTGCTTTTCCATATTACGCTTCATTTTAGCTAATAGCTACCGACTGTTTCTGTCTCATTGAAAATCTTGCGCGCCAACGTCATTCATTTCATTGGATCACTTGCTGGTGACGATGCAGCCTGTGGGCAGGCTTAAGAGTCCACACGTGAGGTAGAAGCTGCTGATTGGTTTAGAAGCTTTCACTCAAAGTTTTCCTCTGGCTGCTTATTGGATGAACTGAGAATGAAAATCCGTACGCCTGCGAGGTCTCTGCAGACGGTAATAGGAGTTACCCGCCTGGCTCAAAATGGGTGGGCCCGGACCTAAAATGGGTGGGCCCAGGCCCACCCAGGCCCAATGGTAGCGCCGCGGCTGACTTAACGGACCTTCTTTCGCCCTACAATCCACCGCGTTCCTTAAGATCACTAAATTCAAGGCTTCTGGTCATTCCTAGGATATCGAAGTCCAGTAAAGGAGGGAGGGCGTTCTCGCATTTAGCTCCAAAACTCTAGAATGGCCTTCCCGATACGGTCCGAGCCTCTGACTCGCTGACACAGTTCAAAACTAGATTAAAGACGCATCTCTTTAGTCAAGCATTCACATAATGCTTACCTTCTAGTCCTCTGTTATGCCATACGGACCCGTTTGCCACTGAAACTGCTTAACGCACCAGTGGGGCTCGACAGCCTTTTAGACAAACGGGTCGGCGCGTATGGTTGGGTTACGGAGAGTTTGTGAGTTATAACGGAAATCATTATGAACATCAGCTATGCTAATTATTTCCCATCTGCCTTTCTGCTGTTATCTCGGGACGCTTGTCCTGAGAAAAATGGCGTTCGTCAGGTCCAGTTTTGTGTCCAGCCTCTCACGGGGATTTCGGATGCCCCAACGCCTGCGATGAGAGGACCAACGCCTGTGAAGAGACGACTCAACGCCGGCGATATGTTATGGCGCCGTTTTATTCATAAACAATATTTATATTGCTCCGACTGAGCCTGGGTTCTCCCAAGGTTTTTTCTCCATCCAATCTGATGGAGTTTGGTTCCTTGCCACTGTCGTCTTGCTTTTGGCTTGCTTTGAGCTTGCTCAGTTGGGGTTATTTAGTGTTTAGCAATGTTGTTGATCTGTGTTGTACTACTTTCATGTTATCACTGTGAAGCTGCTTTGATACAATCTGTATTGTGAAAAGCGCTATATAAATAAATGTGACTTGACTTGACTTGAAATGTATCATTATCAGTCATAATAACCAGTTAACCAGTCATAATAACCTTTCTCAACCTTATTGAAACCTTATCAAACAAAGATCTTTTAAGTTTAACTAAACTGACAGGTAAAACACCATCATTAAAATGTTCCCAAAGTTCAACCATTATAAAAGGATATTGAATAAATATCAACCTTGTAGACATATTGATGCATTTGCTGTCATCTCTTTGAATCCCCTATGGCTAACGCAGGCTCGTGGTAATTTTCGGCACAACGACAGGTGGTGTCGTTGCGAATTGCTCACAGTATTGAAATGTGTGCTCAGAAAAAAAAAAATTGCTCAGTGCTGAAAAAAATTAGAGGGAACATTGCCGGCAGACTGTAAATAATCTCTCATATGTTCTTAAATACCTCAGTATCTGCAGCTGACAGTTTGGGCTTTTCAGTCCATCAGAAATAATCTTCACTCCTGAATCCTGCAGGTGATTGTAGCTCAGATCCAGCTCTCTCAGGTGTGATGGGTTTGACCTCAGAGCTGAAGACACATAACCACAGCCTTCCTCTGTCACCATACAGCCAGACAACCTACAGACACACACAGTCAGACCATCTACAAACACACATCAACATTATAACCAGCAGACTGTAAATAATCTCTCATATGTTCTTCAATACCTCAGTATCTGCAGCTGACAGTTTGGGCTTTTCAGTCCATCAGAAATAATCTTCACTCCTGAATCCCGCAGGTCATTGTTACTCAGATCCAGCTCTCTCAGGTGTGATGGGTTTGAACTCAGAGCTGAAGACACATAACCACAGCCTTCCTCTGTCACCATACAGCCAGACAACCTACACACACACACAGTCAGACCATCTACAAACACACATCAACATTATAACCGGCAGACTGTAAATAATCTCTCATATGTTCTTCAATACCTCACTATCTGCAGCTGACAGTTTGGGCTTTTCAGTCCATCAGAAATAATCTTCACTCCTGAATCCCGCAGGTCATTGTTACTCAGATCCAGCTCTCTCAGGACAGAGTTTGAGGATTGTAGAGCTGATGACACAATTTCACAATCCTGGCCAGTGAGATTACAGCCAACAAAACTAGAAGAGAGTAAACACAGCACAATAAGTTGGGGTTCAGGGTGCTTTTGTTTGAAGGAGTATCAGTAGCACCTTAAAAACCAGAAAAAATAGATGAATAAATAATTGGCAATAAAAAGATAAAATAAAGTCAAATATTGTGAAATATGTGGTTGTTGTGGAGAAATAGTCCACATTGGTGGATGAACAGCTTGACTCACTGTCCATAGGGTTCCCTTCTCCATAGCATAGTTATTCCAAACTGAAGCAGTATTTATTACAAAAAATTAAATCTATACTGGGACCAGCCACAGGGAGGCGATCGAGACTCTGGGTTTATGAGCTATACTGGCACCAGCCACAGGGAGGCGATCGAGACTCTGGGTTTATGAGCTATACGAATAGAGAACAGAGTCTCGATTGAATCATTTAGGTTGATCTTTAATGGCTCTGGGATGGCTCTTTGGAACCAGAGTTCCTGGCCACTGTCAGCATTTGAATAGTTATGCTGATTCAATTGGATTGGTAATGGCCTCAGAGAGGGTGTGTTTCTATTTCATTTGCATGCTTTTGTTTCAGTTTATCCCCCCTCAATGTAAACTCCTCCCCTCTAAATGTATAAATTGTAAGGGATTATTCTCCCTTAGTTAGACTATCGTTGAGATGACTACAGCTACGCAATAAAGAACTTCTGCGTGAAAGATACCTCAAAAGTCTCCTGGTCTGTTGCGTGGAAGAATAAAACTTCACTACAGATGGTGCCGTGACCCGGATAGAGAAATCTTACCTGAATCAAGAACTGCAACAAAAGATTTCAACAGAGAAATCTTACCTGAGTTCCAGAACAAGAACAAAAAGAACTTTTCTGACTGAGGTCCAGACTAAATCTTTTCATACAAGCAACGATTCGGTGAGTTTTCACTCTATTCAAAGAACCGCTGAAGACCAGTACAATTTGAGCCTCTGCGCCTTCAGAGAAAGAGTTATCAGACAGCTGTAATGTTTGATTAACTAAAGTTATCCTTTAAAAGTTGTCTTTTAAAGATGAAAGATATCCTCTGTTGTCAGGCAGGGAAGATTAACATTAAATGTTAATATTTTGGGATCCTCTGAATAAGTCAGGGAAGTTGTAAGATATCCTCTGAATAAGTCAGAAGTCAGAACGGAACAGTGCCTCTACGTTGCTAGAGAAGGTATCCTCTAAACTTAGGGAAGATTAACATTACGTGTTAATATTTGGTGATAACCTCTGTTCACAGAGAAGGATTAGCATTTTTGTGCTAGTTATTTTGGTCATCCTCTAAAAGTTTAGGAAGGTGAAAGATCCTTTCCATTTTCTTTCAGGGAAGATTAGCGTAACATGCTAATAGTTTGTGTTGTTTGTTTGTTGTTGTTTTGTGGTGTTACCCTCTAAAAATGTACTTTAGAGATGAAATTTTGATCCTCTGTACAAGCAGGGAAGATTAGCATAAAGTGCTAGTAATATTGTGGATATCCTTTGGTCTACCAAAGAAGGTTTAACAATGGTCCATCTATGTAAACAAGTGTAGCCTCTGTTTGATCAGAGAAAGTTAGTTGTTTTGTGTGGTAACAAAGAAACTCACAAAATGGTTCGGAAAAATGCTAGGTTGGTTCCTACAACTGAGAAAAGTGGCCTTGCCACTCCATTGTGGTCAGATAGCGAATTTAAGTCATTGCTAGGAGAGCACATGGACTCCATAGTGACTCAGTCAGTCAGAGTGAATTTGACGAAGAAATTTGGCATTCACCCAGAAAAAGTATGGTCTATTGAAGATTGTAAAAAAGTGCTAGGAGTGGGCCATAATGATGAGTGGGCCAATGACTTACAAGCATTGTTTGAAAGAGATGTAGACATCCCATCAGTAACAGATAAGCATGCCAATTCAGTGAATGTGTGTGCTGCTAGAAAAAGACCGCAGGGAATTGAACAGTCAGAAAGTGTTCCTTCCAGTGCTTCTGTTGTTCAAATCCAAACTGTTGCTAAAACGCTTGGACCTAGAGACATAGAGAGATTGTCACAGAGTTTACAGCCAGCACGCACACAGTTCACTGAATTTAGTAGAGCATTGGTCAGCAAAATGCGTCTCTACGACATGTCGTTAACAGAAGTCACACAGTTAATGTCTCAAATTCTAACTGAATCTGAATTCAACAGTTTTGAGTCTGCTGTTACTTCTGAACTACAACATGCCAGAAAAGATGAATCAAGAGAAGGTGTTCTGAAAATCCTAAAGAATATCCTAGGACCCAAGATAGATTGGTCTAGAATTACTAACTAATCTTAGAATAACTAATCTTCCATAAGAACTTCACGGACCCTAATTGCATGTTTGTTTTCTGTCAGCACGCAATTACAGAAAAAAGCAAACACAGAACATGAGTTGATGTGCCTGTAACTAGCAAAAGTTACAAGAGTGAACTTTTAATTGTTTAAATTTGTATATAGTGTGGGAGTTATTTAGAACTCCCAAAGGGAGAATTGGAGGAATACAAATTTGTCAAATGTTTAATTTAGGTTTCCACTCCAATGGTATAAAAACTGTCTCCAGCAAGAGTCTCGATTGAATCATTTAGGTTGATTGGATTAGCAATAGGGGAGACTTCCACCTTTTGTCTTTAATGGCTCTGGGATGGCTCTTTGGAACCAGAGTTCCTGGCCACTGTCAGCATTTGAATAGTTATGCTGATTCAATTGGATTGGTAATGGCCTCAGAGAGGGTGTGTTTCTATTTCATTTGCATGCTTTTGTTTCAGTTTATCCCCCCTCAATGTAAACTCCTCCCCTCTAAATGTATAAATTGTAAGGGATTATTCTCCCTTAGTTAGACTATCGTTGAGATGACTACAGCTACGCAATAAAGAACTTCTGCGTGAAAGATACCTCAAAAGTCTCCTGGTCTGTTGCGTGGAAGAATAAAACTTCACTACACATGTGTTCGCTTAGAAAATGAGTTGTAAATGAGTATATCACAAAATAACAGTAAAATCCCATTAAATCACGTTACTGGTGCGTCATGTGTTCGCTGAGAAGGATTAGCATGCAGGAATGATGTTCATTCTGTTCATCAGGAGCAGTTTCCATGTTTCATTAACAGTTCTTGTTAGTATTGTGTCACCATGGTAACTGTTGTTTCCATAACCCCAAAATGCCACTTTATTTTCACTTTGGGGTTATTTTGTATATTTTTAAATGACTGGTTGCTCAATCCAACATTGTATTAACCAAAACTAGTTTGGGACTGATATTTAATAGCTGAACCTCATAGGCCTCCTGTTTATTTATCAGTATTAGTCATTAGTCACCCAAAAATGAAAATTAAGTCATTAATTACTCACCCCCCTGCTGTACCAACCCCGTAAGACCTTCGTTCATCTTCGGAACACAAATGAAGATATTTTTTATTAAATCTGAGAGGTGGATCACTGCTATATTGGCTCCTAAGGGAATGAAACTTGACGGCCCAGAAAGTCAATGAAGAAAATGTTGAAATATTCCATGTGCCTACAGCGGCTCAACTATAAGTTTATCAAGCGACGAGAAAAAAACAAACAAAAATAACGACTTTATTTGACTATTCCATTTCTTCCTTGTGGGTCTGAGACGAGAGTTGAAGAGATTTCCACGACGCATGCGCGAGAACTGAGATGAGGACGTTCTTCTTCTACTTCTCCTTTTTACCGGCTGCTCACCGCTTAGGAGTATTACCACCACCTGCTGTATAAGATGACGTGCTGATATAGCCGGAAGCGCAAAACTTTCTGGTTATAAGCAGAGGAAGACGCGTGCTGTACACATAATAGGCCTCCCTCTCTCTCTCTCTCTCTCTCTCTCTGTCTCTCTCTCTCTCTCTGGGTCGCAGGGAAAATTAGTTGAGAACCAATAATGATTATTCAAAACATCATTCAATGTAAATGTGATAATCGTGATTAATAATCGTGATTACAATCTCAAGGGAATAATCAATAATTATGATTTTATAATCATGCAGCCCTACTGTGAGCTGGAGTGAGTGGAGGTTGGGCTAATTAGCATTTTCATATATCCGCGTATACTAAATGAAGCAATGGTGTAGAGTTGCATTCAAGCTATTTTAAGAGATGAAGAGTTTTTCCACTGGAAAACACATTTAAATATGTAATTTTGTTGATCAAAGATGAGTTTTAAGGGATAAATGATTGGCTACAGAAGGGCTTTAATAATGAACACTCACAGAGCTTTACTGCAGTTGACCACAGCTGGTATCAGTCTTCTTCTGCCCTCAGCTGATGTGTTGTATTTCATGGTGTTCAGCTCATCCAGCGGCTCCTCTGAGATCTGAAGCATGAAGGAGATTGTTGAGCAGTGAGACGGAGAGAGTTTCTTCTTTGAGTGTTTGTCTGATTTCACAAACTCCTGAATCTCTCTGGACAGAGTCTGATCTTTCACTTCCAGCAGACAGAGGAACAGATTGATGGATTGATCCGCTGAGAGATGATTAATACTCTCCTTATCTTTGATCATCTCTAGAACGTGCTGTGTGATTCTCCTGATGGTGTTTGAGCTGTTCTGTGTGTGTGTCAGTAGATCCTGTAAGAGTCTCTGATTGGACTCCAGTGAGACGCCCAGCAGGAACCGCAGGAACAGATCCAGCCGTCCATTATCACTCCTGAGGGCTCCATCTACTGCTGATCTTAGTAGATCATACAGAGAGGCTTCATCTACTGCTGATGTTAGTGGATCATACAGAGAGGCTAATCTGGAAAATTTGAATTCATGCAGCAGTTTCTTGTTGTTGATCATATACGAGTAAAACACAAAGAAAGCAGCGAGAAACTCCTGGACGCTCAGATGAATGAAGCTGTAGACTTTCCTCTGATGAATCACAGATTCCTCCTTAAAGATCTCAGTGCAAATCCCAGAATGCACTGCGGCATCAGTGACGTCTATGCCGCTCTCTCTCAGGTCCTCCTCGTAGAACATCACATTGCCCTTCATCAGCTGATGGAAAGCCACTTCAGCAAGTTTCACAATCACTTCTCTGTTGGAGCGCAGGAGTTTCTCTGGATCTCTCTCTTCATACTTCTGATTCCTCATGTGGATCTGAATCAGCAGGAAGTGGATGTACATTTCAGTCAGAGTTTGAGGGATTTCTGCACTCAGATCTTCTTCCAGGAGCTTCTGAAGCACAGTGGAGGAGATCCAGCAGAAGACGGGTATGTGGCACATGATGTGGAGGCTTCTTGCTCTTCTGATGTGAGAGATGATTCTGCTGGCTTGATGCTCGTCACTGATTCTCTTCCTGAAATATTCCTCCTTCTGAGGATCACTGAATCCCTGAATCTCTGTCAGACGGTGGATGTATTTGGAGGGGATCTGATTGGCTGCTGCTGGTCTGGAGGTGATCCAGATGAGAGCCGAGGGAAGCAGATCTCCTTTCATGAGGTTTGACATCAACACACCCACTGATGAAGACTCAGTCACATCAGAAACTTCCTGAGCGTCTGAAAACATCAGTGGGATTCTGCTTTCATCCAGACCATCAAAGATCAACACAACTCTACACTCCTCATACATCTTTGAGTCCAGATCTTGAAGTTCAGGATGAAAGTCCAGCAGAAGTGTGTGAAGACTGTACTGATGATCTCGGATCAAGTTCAGCTCTCGAAATGGAAGCACAAACATGAAATCTACATCCTGATGGTCTTTCCCCTCGGCCCAGTCCAGAATGAACTTCTGCACAGAGACGGTTTTCCCGATTCCAGCGATGCCTTTAGTAAGAACAGTCTTGATCTGCTGTTTCTCCTGGCGTCCTGGTTCAGGAGAGGCTTTAAAGATGTCATTGCAGTGGATTGGAGTGTCTTGTGAGTGTTGTGTTCTGGCTGATTTCTCCATCTGTAAAACCTCATGTTCTTCATTCACTCCTTCTCTCTCTCCCTCTATGATGTAGAGCTGTGTGTAGATCCTGTTCAGGAGGGTTTCATTCTCTTGGAGATTCATTCCCTCAAATAATCTCTCATACTTGCTCTTCATGCTGGTTTTGTGTCGGTCTTTGACTCTCTGTAGTTCATCATTCACTGGTTGATCATGTCTATTGAGGGACGGCGTGACGGTGGTGAAAGTGTTGTTCAGACAGAAGACTGAGGCGGCTCCTCGAGAGATGCTTCGCTCTCCATCTACTCTGCTGGAACAACAACAACAACAGAGTAAAACACACAAAGCAGCTTCACAGAAAACAGAAGATCAGAAAAACACAGATGAGAGTAAAACAGTGTTTCAATCCTCCAGTGAGCAGCTAAAGATGAGAGACCAGGAACAAACTCACTAACAGATTTAAGAAATGAGGAAGACACCAAATCCTCATCCTCAATCTGACACCAGAGATCCTGATAGACAATAAGTTTCTTATATCTGGACATTGAGGTCACAGTTCATTCTCCATCACTGAACGTTTGTCCACAGATTTGAGGTGAAATCAGAAATAAAAACTGACTCATCTCTCTGTGTGCATCCAGTGTGTTTTTGAGTCTCATGTTATTAGTCTCCTAGTTTAAAACATTTATTTTATAATGTGATTTCCCCCCCACTTTCAATGGGCTTTATGCACAGCTGCACTACTTCCTGAACTTCAGCCAGTTCTTCGTTTCCTGTCTGCCATTATTGGAAAAATTGATTAATTCAGGTGTGCCTGACCTCAGTAGTCACGGCAACAATAATCAGACACACATGAATTAATCAAGTTTGTCCAATAATGGCAGACAGGAAACAAGGAGCTGGCTGAAGTTCAGGAAGTAGTGCAGCTGTGCATAAATCTCGAAAGGTTAGGATTTTGCCTATTTTTTGAATGAAAGATCAAAATGATAAACAATGCGTATTTATTTTTTACTGCCATTTTTATCATATTTACCAGGGGTATGATTAATTCTGGTCACGACTGTATTTTTTTTTTTTTTTTTTTACATTCATACAGTATTTTTTTTCATACAGTTATGAAAGACCTGTTTGTGAAAGTTTTTTTTCTTTTGTATTATGTTAAACAGCTCCTGCTTTCTGCTCCCTGAGTTCGCCTGCTGAAATCACATTAGCCCGCTGGACTTATGGAACATTTCTGCGTTGTTTATCTCTGAGCATCCTTACATTGTTTCACTGTTAAAAGTGTGAGCTGTTAAATAATGTAAATAACTGGAAAATAATGTCTGCTTTTATTGAATCTTTTGGTTTTGTGAATTTAACAACCTATACCATATTGAATTTCATAGCATCATATTTTTCTCCATTGCATTGTATATATTACATTGAATAGCATCGCACTGAAGCTAATCAAAATCGCATCGTAATAGTAGTGAACCGTATTGCATCGCATTGGTAGCTGCATTGTATCTTTAATGTTTCGTATCGTTGGCTATGCATCGAGATGCGCATCGCATCAGCCTCAGTTATGGAGATGCACATCCCTAACATGTTTACTATATTACAGCCCTTTTCAATTACATAATCACACTAACCCATATGACCAGGCGTTTGTAAATTATTACATTCCTAAGTCAAGTCAAATATATTGACTTGACTTAGGAATCTAATAATTCCTAACATATCTGTTATTTTGTGTCACCTGGGGTCAGAGGTCACTGCTTCAACACTGATATTAGGAGGAGGACCCATGGATCTGTCACTCTTCATAGACACACAGCTGGGGTCAGAGGTCACTGCTTCATCACTGATATTAGGAGGAGGACCCATGGATCTGTCACTCTTCATAGACACACAGCTGGGGTCAGAGGTCACTGCTTCATCACTGATATTAGGAGGAGGACCCATGGATCTGTCACTCTTCATAGACACACAGCTGGGGTCAGAGGTCACTGCTTCATCACTGATATTAGGAGGAGGACCCATGGATCTGTCACTCTTCATAGACACACAGCTGGGGTCAGAGGTCACTGCTTCATCACTGATATTAGGAGGATGACCCATGGATCTGTCACTCTTCATAGACACACAGCTGGGGTCAGAGGTCACTGCTTCATCACTGATATTAGGAGGAGGACCCATGGATCTGTCACTCTTCATAGACACACAGCTGGGGTCAGAGGTCACTGCTTCATCACTGATATTAGGAGGAGGACCCATGGATCTGTCACTCTTCATAGACACACAGCTGGGGTCAGAGGTCACTGCTTCATCACTGATATTAGGAGGTGGACCCATGGATCTGTCACTCTTCATAGACACACAGCTGGGGTCAGAGGTCACTGCTTCATCACTGATATTAGGAGGAGGACCCATGGATCTGTCACTCTTCATAGACACACAGCTGGGGTCAGAGGTCACTGCTTCATCACTGATATTAGGAGGATGACCCATGGATCTGTCACTCTTCATAGACACACAGCTGGGGTCTGGAGATGAAGATCTCTGTCTGTTCTCCATCATGAGAAACTGACTTCAGACCTGCATATGGAAACACAAGAGAACAACACAAAGATACATACTGGTGCCGGTCATATAATTAGAACATCATCAAAAAGTTGATTTATAGAAGTAATTCCATTCAAAAAGTGAAACTTGGATTTTATATTCATTCATTCAGACTGATATATTTCAAGTGTTCATAATTATATCTGACAACTAATAAAAATCCCAAATTCAGTATCTCCGAAAATTAGAATATTACTCAAGACCAATACAGAAAAAGGATTTTCAGAAATGTTGGCCAACTGTAAAGTATGAGCATGTACAGCAGCACTCAATACTCCTTTAGCCTGAATGACTGCAGCAATGCGGCGTGGCGTGGAGTCGGTCCGTCTGTGGCTCTGCTCAGGGGTTATGAGAGCACAGGTTGCTCTGATAGTGGCCTTCAGCTCTTCTGCATTGTTGGGTCTTCCGTATCGCATCTTCCTCTTTACAATACACCATCACTTTTCTATTGGGTTAAGGTCAGGTGAGTTTGCTGGCCAATTAAGAACAGGGATACCATGGTCTTTAAACCAGGTACTGGTAGCTTTGGCACTGTGTGCAGGTGCCAAGTCCTGTTGGAACATGAAATCTGCATCTCCATGAAGTTGGTCAGCAGCAGAAAGCATGAAGTGCTCTAAAACTTCCTGGTAAACTTCAGAAAACACAGTGGACCAACACCAGCAGATGACATGGCACCCCAAACCATCACTGACTGTGGAAACTTTAACTTGGGGACCTTGATGTCCAAAGGAAATGTAAAATGTACTTTCATCAGAGAACATAACTCAGCAGAAGTCCAGTCCTTTTTGTCTTTAGCCCAGGCGAGACGCTTCTGTCTTGTTCAAGAGTGGATTGACACAAGGCATGCGAAAGCTGAGGCCCATGTCTTGCATACGTCTGTGTGTGCTGGTTCTTGAAGCACTGACACCAGATCAGTCCACTCTTTGTGAATCTCCAACACATTTCTGAATGGGTTTTGTTCACAATACAGGGTTTGGTTATCCCTATTGCTTGTACACTTTATTCTACCACATGTTTTCCTATTAGTGTGCTTGGACACAGATCTCTGTGGACAGTCAGCATCTTTAGCAGTGACCTTTTGTGTCTTGCCCTCCTTGTACAATATGTCAATGGTTGTGTTTAGGACTGATGTCAAGTCAGCAGTCTTCCCCATGATTGTGTCGCCTACAGAACTAGACTGAGAGACCATTTAAAGGCCTTTACAGGTGTTTGAGTTAATTTAATAATGAGCTGATTAGAGTGTGGCATCAGGTGAACCTTTTCACAATACTCTAATTTTCTGAGAGACTGATTTTGGGGTTTTCATTATTTGTCCAAATTAAAAGGAATGAACACTTGAAATATATCAGTCTGTGTGGAATAAATGTACATTATACAAGTTTCACTTTTTGAATGGAATTACTGAAATAAATCAACTTTTTGATGATAATCTGATAATATGTCCAGCACCAGTGTATACGAGTGATAGGCCCGACTCCGCCACGTCCGTAGCCGAAGCGCATGGAGGAACTCGACAGGGTTCGGCTAATAATGGGAACTCTACTGGAGCAAGAATTACACACGTATCCAGTCCATAGGAGAGGAATGGCACAGCAAGCCGACACTACAAACTGGACTTACAGTGAAACTGGCCTCATGTGAAGGGAGCCCACGGAAGCAGCGGTTCCACACATAGGCTAGTCCTCTAGCGAACGTGATAGATGTCACCCAGCCCTCAACTCTTAACATCTGTTCAGCGAAGCTCTCTGTGTCAGCGCCTAGGAGAGAGCAATACCCTCACTGAGGAGGAGCTCACCACCCAGATGGACACCAATCTCACCAAACCGGGATCATGCCAGGGAGCCAATCATGGAGAAGCTCATGTATATTCAGCACATAATGACGATGGTTATCTCTAGGCCTACACTCAATGAACAACATCTCAACACTCGGTCTCATATACACGCCTGTCTCAAACACAAGCCGGTGCAGTTCGGCCATTTGGGAAAATAAAAGACTATTATTTGAAGTTTTACGGTTTCACACTAAAAGCTAAAATCATTTATATTTCAGGGGCCTTTATCATGCGCATCAGTCATATAAATCACAATAACTGATCAAATAAGGCTTTGCCGGGACAAATATTAGTTTCGGCAGTCGACAGAAATGTTTCAATGCAGGAAAACCCTGAGATAATAAAACTAATATATGGCCGACAGTGTCAAGAACAATAAGGCTCTGATGTGAGACACTTATTACTTTACAATAAATTGCTTTTATAAAAGTGTATGAAAGTAAAGTGTGTGTAAAGTCTACTTGATCTTTGCAAACACAGGAGTGAGCGGGACACAAACTAACACGGGCTCGTTGTAAACACACATAGTTTACAGCTTTACACACATGAAGACACTTACTGTACTAGTTGCCATATCAACATTATACAGAATTAAAAAATCTTTGGAAGATATCACTAAACATTTATTTAACCATTAGCAAAAGTATATTTTACAGAAGTATTTTAGATTTTAGAAGTATATTGTGTGTTTATTTAAAAACCAGACAAATGTGATATTATGTTAATCCCAGTGTGTTATTGAACAGTTGATATAGTTGTTTAATGCTGATCTAAGAACAGAAGACTCTCGCCGGTTTAAACCCAATGGTGTGGGGCATGTTGTCACACTGCATTAAAATGCATTATTATTAAACTATGATTTTCTATAAAAAAGTTAATCATTTATTTTATTGATTGTATATTTTAGTTTGTCTGGTATATATTTTTAATATTATATAACATTTTATCTGTCATATGGTCATGTTACAATGTACCCCACCTATGGGGCATGTTGTCACATTTCACTTCCATGCTTTCAAGGTAAATCAAGAAATATATACATTGTATTAACGAAAAAAAAAAAAAAACACATAATTTTACTAGACGTGTGAAATGAATGTGTTTAACAATAAATATTCTGAAGCCCAAGTGGATTTACACAAACTGAGGAAGTCTAAAAGTGTTCGGTTGTGCCCCGCTCTCTCTCTTTTCTATTATAGCAGTGATATTATAATATTATATTTAAACTATTGTATAGCAGTGATATTATAATATTATATTTAAACTATTGTATAGCAGTGATATTATAATATTATATTTAAACTATTGTATAGCAGTGATATTATAATATTATATTTAAACTATTGTATAGCAGTGATATTATAATATTATATTTAAACTATTGTTTATAGCAGTGATATTATAATATTATATTTAAACTATTGTATAGCAGTGATATTATAATATTATATTTAAACTATTGTATAGCAGTGATATTATAATATTATATTTAAACTATTGTATAGCAGTGATATTATAATATTATATTTAAACTATTGTATAGCAGTGATATTATAATATTATATTTAAACTATTATATAACAGTGATATTATAATATTATATTTAAACTATTTTATAGCAGTGGTTCCCAAACCTTTCAGAGTGTCTCTCTTCCACTTCGACTGCAGTCACAGCTGTTGTATTTTATTTAAATGTTCACATCTGTTCCTCTGTAAAGATAAAAAGTTGTCAAAATGATTCCAGTTCACATGGATGTACACAGAAGCAAAAAAAAAAATCTGTGTTATGAATATTTAAGGCCAGATAAGTGATTTTGGTGATGTCACTCAGAAAAGAAAGACTACACGCCTGCGCACATACACACACACACACACACACAATATATATATATATATATATTCAAACATGCATATCTATAGAGTAAACACGTGATGCCGCATTAAGGGTTTTCTGTTAGAGCGGTGTCTATTAGCAGTTATTTGATTATAACCCGTTTTACAGTCAGTCTAGTTTCTTCTTCAAGAATGATCATAACATTTAAGTTAGTTAATTCATAAAAAGGTGGATTGGTCTCATTTGAGTCTGAAAAGTAAGACTGTTAGCCCTAAGTTACTGATAGTTGGTCACTTTAAACAGTCTTAATTTAGCGGCTGTTTATGAAACTGGCCTCGTCACTTTACACGCGTCACAACTCCCTAAAATGGCCGTTAACATTTAAACATTGCGTCTGATAAGCAAACAGAAAACCGTCTACAATAATATGACATGATATCAGTATCAGATAAACGAACTTACCGTCATGTGATATTTATGTCAGTTTTTAAGGCCTCGAAATGTGAATTTACATCCGTCAGAATCGAGTCTTTACTTTCGGTTTGGACTCAAAGGCGTTCCTCAGAATGCAGAGTGCGCATGCGCATACGCACAACCGCCACATCCGGGAACTTAACTGTCAATTTTGTCCCCGCCCCCTTTTGGGGAAACAAACTAGACTCCCCACAGACTTCAATACAAAATAACGCGCGTAAAAACTTAAGAAATCACTTATATAAAACATGTCAAGTAATTATATGTCCAACCTGCCTGCCGTTTTAACAGATTTTAACAGAAGATTCAAAGGAAACGTGTTTGGTTCTCATTGATAAACTGTGTGTTGTGGTCACATGTTAACCTGTGCTTGCATATTTTAATGTGTATTGTATGAGGTCGGCTCTGTGTAACGTAACAAACACATCATGTAACTATAAACTGATCATTATTGGATAGGCTGGCTTTACAAGCATGTCTTTCTCTCTCTTTAAGGTTCATGAAGCAGATCTTTCCTCCTGTGTTCCTCAGTTGGTCCATCAGGGCCTTGAAAGAGACCTGTACTGTTATTTCCGTCTCTACCGTGATCGCTAGACCAGGGAACACAGTCCTATGGGAGGCCAGGTCTTGCTCGCTGTTGGCCAAAAACTGTATATACTTCTTTCCTGTTTTTATATATAGTTCTTTCTTGTTTGTTGTGTATATATTTCTTTCGTATTCCCAAAATAAAATGTCCATTTTTTGGAATTGCGTTCTTTTGAGTTGATTTCATTCTTTATAAGCCCACTATAACACACAGATATCTCTGCAAAACCTTGACAGATTTGGACATGTATTAGAGTAGATCATAATGATATTTACAAATATTTGTTTAAAATAAATGAGTAGTCTTCCTCCTCCTCTTCGTTGTCTGCAAAATAATGTAGAGAAATAAAAATCAAATGAAAAGTGAACACAATTGCATCTGAGAGTTTGAAGCCTAAATTAAATACCTGTATGTCCATTACCTCATCAAAACCCTCCTGTGAGGAAGAGGAGGATGAGGAGGAATATCGCCTGCTCCTCGGATGAAGAGGTGTGCTCGCTGTCCTGCTAAACAACACAATACAACATCTGTCCAAATACACATCACACAATAATCTCCGTCTATAACAGATGCGCTGTTTAATGTTTAAAGTGTGTGGCATCGTGAGAGGTAAGGTACCATCCAAGTGTGAGTTGGTTCACAGATCGAGTCCAGGCAGAGATCAAGTCACAGGTTTCTTTTAATAGATCAACTCAAAACTCCAAAGTGTTCTTTTCATAACCAAAAACTCTTCCAGCGTCACTTTATGCTCCTCAAACAAAACAGACAGTCTCTCTCTGTTCTCAGCTCATTAACAGCTTCCTCCTTCACTCGCAACAGCTGTGTCCCCACCGCTGAGGAATCTGGTCACTGTAGTCTGGGACGAGTGGCCATCTTGATTTGTAGTCCCATGCTGTAACCACCTAGCTGGCACATACCTTTCCTCTGACATACCCTCCTCACGATGCCACAAGTGTTTAAAGTGTACCCACAGTCATCATCACAGTGGTCGCCTCGGGGAAGAAGAAAAACAAAAACATGAAAAAATAAATGCAATGTCAATTATTACCACAAGCTTTAATTTGTT